CAGAAATTTTCCTTCTGGGCTTAATGGAAAAAGACATAGAAAAAAAATTTGGAACTTTGATCTTATATATGTCAACAGCAGCAAGTCTATCGTATGCACAAAAATGGAAGGACATTTCGATTTCTACTATGGATGAATGGCTACAGAAGTTGATGGAGTTGGCAGAGATGGCTAAATTGACTGTTTTGATTAAAGAAAAAAACATAAGTACTTTTGTTTCCACATGGAAACTGCTTCTCAATTTTGTGCTTGAGGTGGAGAAAAATGAAACTTTGATCTTGTGGTTTACTTATTAGATTGATACGTTGTTATAGAAATGGGTAGTTTATACTACTTCGGAAAAGTAAAAAGTGGAGGTTTGATGTTAATGCTTTATTCTACTGCAACAGAGGAAGTCGGAAGTCAATGCTCTTTTTTTTCTTTTTCCCTTCTCCCCCTCACTTCTCTTTCCCTTTTCCTTCCCCACTGGGTCCTACTATTTGTTTTTGTATTTTATTTTATAATCCAATAAAATGTTATAAACAAAAAAAAAGAAAGAAAATAAAACAAAACAGACGCTATAAATCTGACTGGAATCACACTAGTGATATAGACGATAGTAAACAGAAACTTGAAAGCCTGACTGAATTGTCCTCTCCTTTCACCTTATGCTATAGTGAATTAGGGAGGAGTCAATCTAAGCTTATTCCTTACACTTTCAATTTTGCCAAGCTTAAAATAAGCTTTTGTTTATGTCACCATTGCTCCCTATGCCTAGCTTTCCAAAGATCACTAAATCTCTACATAAAGTCATCATTCTCTTAATTTTGGGGTCTTCAAAAACGCCTGATTACTTTTACTACACTGTCTCATCTTGTTCCTACCCTTCCATCCATTTGTGTCATCTAGCAGCATAACATTTCCCCCCTGGATTTCATTCCTTTGGAATGTTTAATCATCATTTTCCTCATACGTCATCACTGGTTCTTCCAGTCTTAACCATTTGCTAGAGCACAACATGTAACTGTCACCAACTTAAGGATTTTATACTTTCAGTCACACCCAAAATAACCTAGATGATATCATGTCAAACTTTTTAACAATGCAGGTAGGGTATTTCATTCATAATGAATGAAACCTTTTCATTCTAGTTTGTGTTTCCTGTGTCAAAATTATGTGAAATTACACCATTTGATTTCAACAGAACTCTCAAGGTTATCAAATCAAAACCAAAACTGGTTCATAATGTATGTCAACCTCTTGCACATGCCATTTTTATATTCTAATAAAGAATATCTATATCATTTATTTCATTTAAAACATAATACTCGACTGAAAGACAAAATACATGGTCTCTAGCAATGTTCACATATGTCAGCAGATGGCAGTCTAATACTGTATTTTAAAATACATGGAATTTTGCCTTTCCCTTAATTATCAGTTATAAGAAAGGAATACATTCTACATACATTAAACTCTTGACTGATTTGCCTTGCAGTCAAGACTAGAAATGCTCAGACATAAGAACCCAACCAACACCAAATCAATCAATCAATAAATAATAAAACTCTTTTGTAATTCAAAAGCCAGAATGTAAACTAATTTATTTTTGCTGTTGTTGAACACAGCAATTTCAGATAAAAGTTAAGAATTTTTTGGTAGATATTCAAGCCAAGTATATGATGATGATGATGATGATGGTGATAATGATGATGTGATTTTATTCCAAGGACTTAGAACAGAGAGGTACAATTTTCTGTAGTGTTGGGCCACACTTTGATTTTTTTCTACCCTGATCAAAGTCACCAATAAGCAGAGCCTTGATGTTAAATAGGAAGACTCAGGAGAAAAAAAAATCCAAATAATTAAGGGCAACTGGAAGAAAAATAATTGTAAACACATTTTTTTCATTAAAGTACTAAGAAAAATCCACCACGGAAATAGTAGTTTATAAACATTACGGTGATTTTTATTGGAAAACTACGGTGCTGAATTTTGGTGGTGCAATCAGATGGGCCTCCAGGAACTGCAAAATAGTAGTTGGGAACCTTCATACTTTAGATTTTTTCCCCCCTGAAATTCAATTCAAGCAAGGTATTTGCCCTGTGGTTTTCTCACTGAAGATTATACACAGAGACAAAATTCTACTGTTCTGCAGTGTCCTTTTCTTGCATTTGTTGTCATGTTGTCAAGTCACCTTTAATTAGTTCACTATTTTTGTTGTAATTTTTTTTAAAATGTTGGTTTAAATTATTTGAGTGATGTATAAAATAGAAAGAGATATATTTGATTGCAGGTTTGGCTTCCTTTCTTGTCCTGATTTGGGCCAGCTTTTCATATTCTTATGCTCCTTACTGCATTCTCCTTATTGCTTCCTATGTTTTCCTTGATTTCCTTGTTAAACATATTCATATAGGAGATATATCTAATACTGGGGATTTTCAATAATCTCCAGGATACCAGCAATGACATTGCCCTTTTTACTTTTTCCAATGTTGGGTGGTAGTGATGGAAAAGAATTTCTCCTTTCTAGTCAATTATTCCCATAGATGTGCAATATGTTGAAATTCTGCCCCTGAAATTCTGCAGTACATTTTAATATGGCTGATCTTTTACAGAGGGAAGAAAAATCTCCAGAAATATTCATCTTGGTTTCCATTGATTACTCAGTACTTTTGGCCAGAAGCTTCCAATTTTATTTTTGGAAAGTGCTCTTCATTTTTATCTTTTCTTAATGTTAAAGTTATGAAAAAATAATTCAAATGCTAAATTGTCTGGGCTGTATCCTTTGTGAGCAGCTCTTATTTCTATTTCTTATCAGTAGCCATGTCAAAACTAGGCAAATTCTGAAGACAACTAAGTGTTCACATTTTAAGAAAAACAGTCTTGAAAATTCTGATTGATCAACTAGAATGAATGAAAATCCAAAACTGAAATGCAACTGTTCCTAAATAGCTATGATTTTGTGTACTGTGTGCTTTCACATGTAATACCCTGATCAAACATGAAATATTCACTTAAAAAAATAAATGTGTGCTAAAATAACTGAACTTTTGACCTATATTCTGAAGTGTTCTCATGAAAAACCATTTTAAGTAACTCAGAAATTTGTTTTTTTCTTTTTTTGTTTAAACGCAGGTGGATTTTTGCTAATCTGCTTGCAAAGCTACTTGACAGAAGTTTCTAACCACACCTTAAATGCTAGTCATGCATTATGACTCAAACCCTTGCTTTTTCAAAATTATTTTATTAGGACTGAAACAAAAAGCTTGTGCTAAAAACTAGAATGTGGGCTACGGAAAAACAATCATTTTACTGGTTTTGATTGCATTGGCAGAATTGTTTAAAGAAAACTGAAGATCAGTTCAAGAGTTTAAAGCTATTACTAGGTTTGAGTGAGGGTTAAAGTAGTTAAAGGGGAACTAAGAAGCCCCATTCCTCATTTGGGATATTTTCCATTATGTTCTGTTATGTTCAACTTTGTATTTAACTTTATTATAGGGTTTATTATAGGAATTCAGGTACCAAAAAGGATTTTTGCTTCCTTTTATAGAAGCAATGTGGTTTATTCTTCAGCAGGGAATATCCATGTCTCTCAAAGTACTTCATAAGTTTGGTGTTGATGCTGCTTTGCAATTATTTAAAAGGAACAAACATTAAGCAAATAAGCTTATAATTTTTATTCTGCTGGCATAATAGCCAGTCTTGTGAAAAGAAAAATTCAAGAAACCTCATATATTTGTTCTGATAGGGTTTCACTGCTATCAGTCATTTATGTAGAACACTAATGGTTTACGTTTCTTTAATCATGTGAATACTGGGATTATTCAACAAGGAGACAAACAAAAATGTGATAGAGTTTTAGCAGCTCCTGGTACCTTATTAGTGCTGCATTGGCTTAAAATGTGTATATTATAACATGGCTGTCCAACCTTTTGGCTTGCCTGGGCCACATTGAGTGAAGAAAATTGTCCTGGGCCACATATAAAATATATCATTTAGTTAACATATACAAATATTGCTAAAAATCATATGTTAAATGTTTACAATCTTGTGGCCCACAGGTTGGACTTGCCTGCATTATAACCTGTGATGGATTATGTCATAAATTGAATGAGGCTTCTTTTATAAAATTTACTTCCTCACCTGGACAGAATACAACTTGCTTCTAAATCTGTACCTACCTTTATTTATATCAATTTATATTTTATTTACATCCTAATCCCAGGACTTTAGGAAGTTTGCAATATATTATCAAAACATATTACACTGATCAGTTACCAATATAATGTACAGAAGCTGACTGCATATATCCCTTTTCCTAATACTGCAGAAAAAAACCAACCTCAGGTGCCTTGGTTATTTTTTTATTATTTAAATAAACATAAACCCTTCTGAGTTGAAAAAAGGCAAAACAAAAACTAAAAGCAAAACAAACACAGAATATTTAACACAGAGGGGAAAAAATAACTTCACTGAGGGTTAATTGCATATTCCAAGTATCAGGTAAATGTTATATGACCAGGTGTTACATTTCCATCAGACAGAGAAAAAGAAACACCAAAGTGTTTATCTGTATTATCTGATGTATACAGTAATTAAGGATTTTTTAAAAAGCATATAAAAGCAATATGCTTTGATTGGTTTTTATAACTTCCTGCTTAGCCATCAGCTCAATAGTGTTCTAGACTTTTACAAAATAAAGCTCCTTTACCATTTCCCCCTCTAACTTTTCTCATCAAGAACTAAGCTACACATCCCATCAATGGATGTAACAACACTACCCTGCTACTCTATCCAAATCATCTAGGATAATTACTCATAGTAAAGATAAATATAAAAAGGAGTTAATATACAGATTGCTCTATTTTACATGTTTGCATCCAAGCTGTAAACATATGTCCTTCTGAACTGATCACTTTTACCCTCAGATATGTACTTACAAAAAAAGAGAGATTGTTTAGATATTAAAGGCATGTTATTCAAAACATTACAATGAAGGCAAATAATTTTTATCAATTCCATCTCAAAAAAAAAAAAAAAAAAAAGATGAGCTGGAACTACCTCCCATTTATCCTACTTACCCACCACCAGTCTTTTCTACATAGCAACTTCTTTCATTATCTACAGAGGAACTTAAATCACTGAAATAATGATGTTAATATTAATAAAAGTATTCTTCATCTCAAAGTAAACTGTCAAAGCCCAGAGAAGAAATATAGTTGATTTTAAGACAACAGTTCATTTGAAACCAGAATTCCTTAATTTATGCATTTATATGCAGTCCTTGAATAACACGTGTACATTAATCAAGAGGTCCTTGGAAAATAAGTCTTATGTAGCCTTGTTCACCAGAAAGCTGATGTGCACAGAATGGACATGCTGCATGAAAAGTGTGGGTACCATGAGGAAGAGGGATTTGAGACCAGTAGGCTGTTGTCTTTTCTGAGCACACATGTCCACATGGGCTGAATGCATGAGTTGGAGGCCCTGCATCCACATAAAATCCAGCCTCACATCCAAGCCAGAGAGGCACATATGGACCGACAGACCGGCACATTGGACATTCTCGATCCTTGCCATCTCTCTCTTCTTTATTTCCCCAGTTATGGTATCCATGCACATGGCCACAGTTCAGATAAACCCAGGGTTGTTTTTCATCAACAACATCTTTCCTCTTCATGCTGGGAAAGGCTAATGTGTTAAAGCCCACAGGGCACTGGGGCCGGGCTGCATTGATTTCCTGCCTGAGAGCTTCCAGGTGCTTCACTGTTGGAGTGCGTGAAAGTCCTTCTGCTGTACGCCACAAAAGTGTGGCTCCACAGAGATCTATCAGTGAACCATCCTGAAGTTGGTTGGTTTCATTTTCAACCTGGAAGATTAATATAGAATCCATGAAATATGCAGAGATTTAAATCAAATCAATCTTATTTCAAAAATCCAGTGATTTTGTTCTTATATGCTTTTTACATAAGAAATGAATAGCGGATGTCTAACTATCATGTCTAATAGTGGAGAAACCAGGTAACAGCACTGAAACCAGGGAAATAGCTAGAAACTTCCCTGCAGAGAGTAAGGGAATAATTGCACGAGTGACCCTCCATGAATGAAATTAATAAGCTGCATTTCATAGTAGTGAATGCTCCAGCTATCAGTTTAGTTCTCAATGGGTTCCATATCCCATTCCTTATTTGTCAGAATTCTACAGTGTGATTACAGCAGCATACAACATTAACAAATAAGCCGTTCCTTCTTAGGCATGAAAAGTGGAGCCTTGTGAGAACTCAGTCCTGTTGCTGGCTTGAACAGACAAAATGGGACATCTGTCAGCAATCCAGCTTTTCACATGCAAGCCATCATTCTCCCAGGGCTCCACATCATTGTTAAAATGAGACCATATGGCCTGTCTAGGCAGAATAGTACCAATCAATATAAGGCTCTGGTTCAATGCGTACAAAGCCAGTCTGCCATAGGGAGCATCACATGGAGGAATAGAAACTCCCATCACCAATAATCCAGTTTGGGAAGATGGTATTGCCTAAAACTGGAGGCTGTGGTAAAACAAAGGCATGCTAAAAGAATGAGATAAAATTCTAAATTATGCTTCTTGACTCAGGCAGTCTTCCAGTACACAAGGAAGAAATGAGAAGGGGAAAAGAAGCCACAAAGAGCCAAAGATGCAATTCTCATCCCCCAATGCATTTCTTACCAACCCCCCCCCCCCCTTACTCCAACTTTGCCTGGGATCCTGACACTCCATGCAAGACAGCAACACCCTTCTTGTAACTCTCTGCTCCTGGGATCATTGAAGGGAGTGGATCAGCAAAAGATAAGGGCTTTTGGAGGTTCTCTGCAAGTAAGCATTCTGAACTACCTCCATTTCCAGAATCCACTGTCTTCATTGCTCATTCTTTTCCCTGGAGAGACCACTTCTCTTCATCACCATTATGCTGGATCCACCCATCCCCTTTACCTCCACAGGTAAAAGGGACAGGTGCATTTGGGAAAGCCTCCTGCACAGTGCCAGCACCTGCACAGCCCAAAGGAAGCATTTCTCCACACCACCAGCGAGAACACAATGCACCTCCCATATGTGCAAATCTCACTGAGCCAAAAGGGAAAAGGCAAAGTGACCCTTCCCAACCTAGCTAACCACTTCAGTGTAGCTTATAACTCTTGTGCTGAACTAATAAAGGAGGAGGATTCTCATCGCATCTGGAACAAAGTACTTAAAATAATCCATCTTTGTATGGTCAAGTTGAAAAAGTCTCCCCTGCTTCCCCAATTTGCTCACAATCTCCCAGGGAGTCATCAAGGCCTGCTTGAGAACCTCGGTCCTTCTTAGACTTACCATTTTGCCCCTCTGCTGAGCAGATCTTGTCTCGCGAAGACTGAACACATTCCCACATACAGATATCTCCCTCCACACCCCTGGCTTTGAGTCTTCGGTGAACCCATTCCGTGGATGCATAACAAGGACTCCGTTTGTGGTTAATCCATCCATTTGTCCATCAGGTGTTTTCCACTTGGCAGCTTTTTCCTAGAGGGAGATAACAAATGTCTAAAAACTGCTTTATAGTCACTACTATTTGAAGTTTGGAAAGCAAACTGAAAAGTTACATTTGCCTTGAGCAGGAGAGGGAGAGAAGCTCCTTACCCCTAGAAAGATATTTTTGGAGGAGTCAAAGCCGGCAGCATATATTCTTGCTGTGAAAGGTGGGTTTCGTTCACATATTATCCTGCAGGCAAACCTTGAGATGGTGCTTTGAACAGACTGAGTCTCTGAATTGCTCTGGCTTCCAGGAACAGTATCTGTCACTACAAAATCTATAGGACTTTCTGTTGATCTCCCAATCTAGCAAAAATAAAATGAATTTAGATTTGGTTATTAAAGTAATTCAAGTATTTGTATCAAGCCAGAATTTAATCTTTCATATACACACAGGTCGCAAACATCCAATATTCTGAAAACTACTCATCCGTTATTTTAGCATTAAGAACCAGTTAAAGAATGCAAAAATGTATTCTTTCATCCTCTATTCACTGGAGCCTTCTTGCCTTCCTCTGAGTAAAAAGTAAAATTGATAGAACTTTTCTTTTGCAGCACAACTGGGTGAGGTGATTGTTTTCATAAAATATCTCATCATTTTTGGATTTGTTTATAGATTTTATATACATCTGCATTCCTAAAAGGGTTCTAAATAGAGTTTATAGAGGCCTCTGCTCTGTTTGGCTGAAAACTTTAAGCACTCTGTTAGTTTTTAAAATATGTTAATGTGATCCAAGACTAAATAATTTCAGTTGCAAACCTCAATTTTCAATATATGACGGAACAAAATAAATGAACATAGCGCCCTCCAGATGAGTTGAAGTAAAATTTCCAGCCTGCAGAGCACAGGTCATCATGGGTAAGGAGTGTGTGGGTTGTACTCTAACATAGTGACATCAAGCTCAAATATAAATGTGAGCCATTACATAAGGTTCCCGCAGACCAGTGGTGGGATTCAGCCGGTTCGTACCACTTCAGCAGAATCGGTAGCTAATTTTTTGTTGCCCAGGCCCAGAATGGACTTCCGGAAGCGGCATCCACACAGAGAACCGGTTGTTCACATATTTGAATCCCACCACAGCTGCAGACCACATGCTGACTTAGAAAACCACATTTATATATTTCTTTTTATTAATATACCAACATATAAACATCAGATAGGAACTAGATATAGTTAATATGTAAAAAAGAAACAATAAAAGTTTGACTGTTTTTTCAACGTGTGTGTATCTCCACCACCCAACTCTGAGGTTCCTCCCAGCTTCCTATTGCCAAATTATCACAAAAACCATCTCCACACCTTATACTCCTACTTATCCCCTCTAATTTTTGATATGCTGTGCATGGAAAATAATGTTTTTTGCAGCTTTTTTCAAACCAAGTACAAATTGTGCACCACAATATGAGAATGTGAGTAAATTACATATTTAATTAAGCAAATACATGCAAGAATGGCCTATGAAGGTATTTATACATTTCTTAAAGTATAGAAACTAGAAATAGCATGTAATATAGACACTTGGAAGGTGTGTCTTCAAGTAATTTTGGACTCCTGGCAACTGTTCTCTCCATTTTTCTTGGCAGCACTTTTCAGAAATGACTTGGCAGGTTTTTTCCCCCTCCACTGGTTAGAGAATTGATTGCCCCAAAGTCACCCAACTGGCTTTGTGCCCAAGGCAGGACTAACTTCACTGTCTTCTGGTTTCTAGTCTGACCACTACACCACTACACCAACTGGCTCCACACATACATCTTTCAAGATTATAATATAAACTCACTAGTCACTGCTAGCTGCAATCAATATTTTGTAAACATTTNAAAAAAAAGGTTTTATGGTGGTTGGTGACTAAATTTATTATTTAGTTTTAAAATGTAATATTAAGTATGTTTTGTTTTATTTTGTTAAATATTGCCCAAATGCATTTTAATCTGGCTTGCACCCCACTCAGGAGAGTTGTGAGCCACATGTGGCCTTTGAATGTTTGATACCTCTGGCCTAACACACCACCTTATCAAATTCAATATATTTGGAATTTAAAATTACCTCATTGCACCACTATTCTTTAGAGAGTATACACAGAGAACATATGTACACTATATAATGCAAGGCAAACACAACCTTTCTGACCAAAAACAACAGCCTAAGAATAGTTTATTTTTCTTGGCTAAACTCAGAAAAACTCCATGTGATAAGGGAACTATCACTTTTCAATCCAAAACCAAATCATTTGCCTTCAAAGAGAGATCACAGGAATGAAGCAAAGCAGAATTTATTTCAGTGTAACTAATTTAGTTCTTGTGAGTTACAAAGATAACTTATGTCCTTATTCCATTATTAGTGTTGTTGTCAATAAGTTGTTTAAATAGTCTAATTTAATTAATAACTTGAAAGGAACAAGGGGACATTGTTTATAATTCACAAGGACTTGAATTAGCTATACTCTTTGTAAACTATTGCCTTTCCCTTTCACAATCACCAAGAAGAAGTTGGAAATATTCAAACTATTTAACTTTTAGAACTTTTGGGTAAGTTCTCTGCTATAAAATTCAGCTCTTACTTGCATAGCCTCAGCAATACAATCAAAAAGATTCAAGTGGATATTTGTTTTTAGTAAATATATTGCTTTGGGCTATGTTACATGACTTGCTTACATTGCTCAAGTTCCTTACAAATAAAAAATGACTATGCTAAGTCAAGTAAAGCTAAGTAAATGCCTCTTTTTGCTACTATTCTATATGCAAGGTTTTTTTTAAACCATGGCAATAGATGAATATGTTGAAGGCTGAAGCAATCGATTTCAGGAAAATGTTTACCAGTTTATACTTTACATGGTATATTTTATTAAGCAATGGTATACTTCAAAACTAAACACTGAGCACAAGAAAATGTGTTTATAACATTAATTAAGTTAGATGGAGTTAGTAAATAGCTAATTCCTAAATAACGTATCTTTACATTAGGGGCCTTCATAGCTGACAAAATTAGCAACCTCTGCAGACTCTTGCCACGACAGTACAATCTAAGATGACTCTATACTTTACTAAAACACAGCTAATTTTCTGGAAACTGATTTTAAAAGCCTATTTGTTGAAATGTAAATTGCAACATCTGGGAAAGTATGGGGGGGGGGGAAGCCCTAGAAACAGAATTCCCAGAAAGTCTGTAATAAAGAATCCAAAAGAAATAATATGCATGAGGAGTGTATTATGTGAATATATTATGTGAAAAATATTAATCAAATTTTGATCGGAGATATGTTTTATCCAACTAGAACAATGTTGGAGTCTATCATTTAAAATCTAGCAATTTTTTTAAAACAGATGCCCAATATATATTTAAATAACAAGTTGCTACTTGTTGTAAGGCTAAAGTTTACTCCGAATTGAGTATGTTAACAGAAAATGTAGACAGAGCATAGATAAAGAAGATCAAAACAGAGTTCTCAAAAATGTTTACTAGATGGGTGTTTGTAATAAAAATGATCAGGAAGCACTTCCTTCCTGTTTCTACCAGCCATTCCTAATCTTAAATCCCCAGATCTTTTTACTCTAGTTCAGGGGAATAGAGTTGTGGAAGTTTTATCAGTGGCCTGAACAATGAAGTAAAACTCTTTATTTCCTATTAGCATAACCACAATGTTATGTTTCCAATATACATTTATTCAGTTTTATCCATACTATTCATCAATTTATGCAATTCCCAGTACACGAATACTTTACATACAGTACCTGAAACATATCAGTGTTGCTGTCATGGGTATACTCAACCACCACTGTTTGCACTCGAGACAAGGTGTAAGATATGCTGTGCTGGTCCTTGTTGCTTATTGCCTAGTAAAAAGGGAAAAGAGGGGCTATTTCAGCAATATAAATCCATAAAATATATTGATTAGTAAAACATTACATTAGAGTACAGTCCTACTAGGTGAAATAATTCATGATTCGGCATGGTAAATTTACTCCCATCTGATCTACTTCCCCTAGTTAAAATACACCTGAACATGTTATTTCAGTCAATAAAATAAAATAAAATCCTATAATTACTATATATATATATATGTTTTCTGAGGTTTTCGCGGGTGTTTGTATGTAGGTCTTTAGCGATGTCGTTGTACTGTTCTATGTCTCGGTTCTTGGGGGGTGTTTCCCTTTGGATTAGGTTAGTAATTGTATTTCTTTGGAATCCGTTGGAGATTAATACGTTTGTGAGAGTGTGTAATTCAGTTTTCAGGTGATCTTTGTCGGGTAGGCGTTTGGTTCTGGAGATGAGGGTCTTGGCTACGGAGTTGATCTGTGCAGGGTGGTGGTGAGATTGTGCGTTTAAGTAGCGGTTGGTGTATGTTTTTTTCCGGTAGATGGTGTGTCCTAGGGAGCCATTGGTTTTTTTGTAGATTAGGACGTCCAGAAAGGGGAGTTGGTTGTTAGCTTCTATTTCCATCGTGAATTGTATTTTGGGGTGTAGGCTGTTGAGATGTGTGAGGAAGTTGTCCAGTTTTTCTTTCCCGTGTGGCCAAATTACAAAAGTGTCATCTACATATCTGAGCCAGAGTTTGTGTTT